GTGTGTATAGAAAGGGACCGTCCCTTTGCGCTCAAATTCTGAACGAAAAATCGGCTTTTTCTCCGGCCACAGATGTCTTTAAAAAGTAAGACTATTACCGATGAATAGCTGATAGGCTGTTTAGTTTACCCTGAAATTACCCAAATAAGTGAACGGTCCCTTTAATAAATGATTGAATAAAAACATGAATGAATAATCGATAGGAATGAATGAATTAACAAATGATAAATAAATGTAATGGATAAATTAATGAATAAAGGCACGATTTGATGACTGAAAAGGTGAATAAATAATTGAATAAATAAATGTATAAATATATGTATAAATAAATGAATAAAAAAATGAATAAACAAATGAATAAATTAATGAATTAATAAATGGTTAAATAATTATACAAACTAATGAATAAAAAAATGAATAGATGAATAAATAAATAGGTGAATAAAAAAATAAATGAAAATAAATGAATGAATGAATGCTAGATATGGAAACTACTCCTGTGTTGCTGAAAACAAGCTTGGGCGTGCTGAAGGAAAGGTAAACTAAACCAAACCAGACGACCAAACCAAACCAAGCCAAGCCCAGCCATGCGAAACCAAACCAAACAAACTAGACAAACTAAACCAAACCAAACCAAACAAATTCCAAACCAAACTAAACAAAACAAAACAAAACTGATCACTACCGATCAAAACCAAAATGAATTAAAGAAACATGAACAAAATATATCCGAAACCATATTAATGCCAAGACACTCAAAATTTACAAAATAAAAAAATGAACAAAACGTACAATTGCCCTTCCCTACCCTCTTTGTAAGAGGTGGGGGGGGGGGAGGATGTACAATATGTCACATATTTTTGCAGTGCATTTTTACCCCCTGCAACTTTGTATAGTAAGGTTAAATACTATGGATCCTCTTTAATGCCATAAAAATGTCGTCTTCCTAGCAATGGGGACTATAATCTTCATATGACACAAAGTACAGTTGACAAACAGAAACAAATCTCTCCTTTTATCACCATTGACATTGTCTTTTCAGCTTCAGTCAATAATCAGTTATGTCATGTGAGGGTTTTGAGTCTCCATTTCTAGGAAGACGACATTTTTAGTGCATCCTGAGCCCGTTCTCTTAATAGATAGTGGTCTTGTAGTTCACGTACTTTGGGGGACAATATGTTGGCCGCTAGATGTCTCATGCTAAATTCTTATCTGATAGATATTTTCACCGTACACTTGACGACCAATAAAGGAGACGTCAAGTTGTCGACCAATAAAGGAGACGTCAAGTTGTCGACCGATGTAGTTTATGGAAGGAATGGCCTCAGAAGCTGAAACTTTGTTTTACCATAGTTAAATTTCTACCGTAGTTAAAATAGATGGTTAAAGATGGAGAAACTTTATTCTAGATCTAGAGAGTGCGTCCATTTAACCAATGGTTAAATCTTGTTTAACCCTAGGTAGACGTAGGGTTAAAAATTGGAGCTGCGCAGATGCCACAAACTATTACAATGATTTTACCAAGGGTTAAATTTAACAATGTTTAGAATAATCTGTCGTCTTCATTCATTCTACCATGGTAAGAATCCGATTTAACCATGGTTAAAATGCCTTAAGTTTTAGCTTCAGTGTATACAACCTTGATTCCCTGCCTGTAGTTTTATCTGAAAGTCGTCTTCCTGTTTTACTATATATTGACATTAACATAAATTTTGCTTCAGGTTGAACTCTTTGAGACTGTTATTCCAATATGTCCGCCTGCATGTGACGCCATTGAGTACAGCAGTGGAGCTAGCTCACTCACTACTTCACTAGCTCTCCTTCTATTCATCACTATTCTCGCTGTTCGATTCAGAAACTAAATAATGTCGTCTTAGATTTTCTATTTTTCAAAATATTTTACATTTTTCTTGCCAAATAATTCAAGAACTTGAAATAATAAAAAGTATTTAGATTTCTAAAAACTATCAAAAAATGATATTAAAAACTTATTTTTATAGCATCTCTCCGTTAATAGAAATGTATTCTATGTTTAAAAACCAAAATAAGAATGGCATATACTTATACAATATAATTATAGAATACGTTCTTATCATGTATATGAGAACATTGTACAGTTAAAAATTAAGAAAAAATAAATAAAAGGTTTTTAAAAATACATTTCTTAACATGTTTCCGATGCAGCATGGGTTTCTCATGCGATGTTAAAGCCGTGTAACAAAATATGGTTTGAATTTTCATATTCCGACTAGTGTAAAGGACAGGGGTTTCATGACTTGGATTCGGATAAGGACAAGGATTAAGAATAGAGGGCAATGATTAGGATATGGACAAGGCTGAGAATAAGGACAAGGATAAGCATAAGACCAATTATTAGTATAAGGACCGGGATTAGAATTAGGATTAGAATTAGAATAAGGATTAGGATAAGAACCTGGATTAGAATAAGGACAAGGATTAGGGTAAGGACAAGGATTATGATAAGGACAGGGATTAGGGTAAGGACAAGGATTATGATAAGGACAGGGATTAGGATAAGGACAAGGATTAAGAATAGAGGGCAATGATTATGATAAGGACAGGGATTAGGATAAGGACAAGGATTAGAATAAAAACAAGGATTAGTATAAGGACAAGGATTATAATTAGAACAAGGATTTGGATAAGAACAAGAATTAGAATAAGAACAAGGATTAGGATAAGGACAAGGATTAGGATAAGAACAAGGATTGGATACGGACAAGGATTAGGATAAGGACAAGTATTATAATAAGGACAAGAATTAGAATGCGGAGAATGATTGGAGAAGGGCAAGGATTAGGTTAAGAACAAGAATTAAAATAAGGACAAGGATTAGAATGCGGAGAAGGATTGGATAAGGACAAGGATTAGGTTAAGAACAAGAATTAAAATAAGGACAAGGATTAGAATGCGGAGAAGGATCGGATAAGGACAGTGCGTCATAAATATAAGAACAATATAAGAATGACAAAAGCTGTAAAGTCGTCTTTGAAATTCTGAAGATAAACCCATTCCCCTTGTAACTGTTAGCAGTATGAATGGAGCCGTTGTGGGTTGTTAGCCGATTTTACTTTTCTCTGAAATCAGGAAGCATAAGATTAACTTGGGAACCCAGCTTTGCCGAGATTTTCCCCTAGAAAGTCTACCCACTCAACTTTGAATTTTTAAAATAAGCTTAGAATATTCCCGTGGTTTTCCCGAGTTCCCCAATCAAAGGGTTATGATCGGACGTGCATATACAAGCCGATAAAAAGAGATTTCTACTTTATATATAAAGATTATATGCCACACTGACTTGAAAAATTCCGGACTGTTTATAAAATTAGAAATTTAACACCCTTGAACTGTAGGTTGGCACTATATATAATTATACCAGTGTTATGAGATATATAATTTGACTGCAAACTAAACGGAGAACTGTGTTCGAAAGAATGATCTTAACTTAAGTGAAGTATATATTTATAACCTTATAATGCTTAAATATATATTTTAATTCTTAGAATCAAAAATGAAAGCTGAGATTTAAAATTGGTAAAATATTGGAATTTTCTAGAATTTTGGTTGTTAATTAGTTTGCTACAAAAACCATTAAAATTATTGAATTGTTGGGATCAAAATTTTTTTTGTGGGACCACAGAGAAGTGATCTGGACAGTCAGAAATTAGAAATCTTGCCTCCCAAACTTTCTGATAAAAAAGAGTCCAAATAAGCCACAAGATAAAGTACAAAGAATGACGCGAAAGCCCAGAATTTAAATATTGGACTTAAGTTAAGCATCAGTTTGAGCGAAGTATTAAGAGTTTAAACTGTACACTCTTATTTAACTGGGGTTTAAAGTTTGGGTGGTCTCAGTAATTATATTCCCCCAAGGGTTAAATAGTTAGTACTACAAATTATATGGAAAAGTACACTTCAAACATCAAACAAAAGTATACTTCATACATAATAATTCAGGCCTTGGAGAATAATTATATATGTACAAAGTGTAAACATAAATATTCTAAACTTTTGCATTTTGAAACTGGTCATAACACACCAGAATTCAATTTCACTTATAGAATTTAATTTGAGAAACTACCAAAACAATTTTTAAGCGACCTAAATAGATTTAAGCGTTCCATTTTCGTTAAAGAACCCACACAGTCGGATTAAAACTGGAAAGGATATTGTAATTATCCTGCTTAAAAACAACTTTTTAAATTTTTCTTTATTTTTTTCCTTTACTATGCATAATCATTTTTTTAAGTACTTTACAGGGCAGTTGTGGCTTTGACTAGTTATGTTTGGAAACTCATAAAACATTTCTTAACCCTATCTTTATTGGGCTATTTTTGTCAAATAAAGAGGGGGGGGGGAGATGTTTTCCATCTCCCTCTGATTTTGCCCATAGAGTTGAGATAGGGGAGTGAATATATGTCCCTATTCCAACTTTTCAGGCCCTGCTCATTAAAAATTAGACCTCTCTTTAATGGTTAGGGTGCAAGGGAGGATTTTTCAAAAAATACGTCTGAAAAATGTTCAAAAATAAACATTTTTACTTTTAAAAAGTATTTACTTAACATGTGACACATATCATTACATAAATTTTAGCCCTGTAGCTTAATCATAAGTTATTAACCATTTTTGATTTTTTTGAAACACCAACCCACGTTTGACTGTCCGTCACTATCTATGCATCAATAAATATTTTTTTAGCAAAATTAGTTCACAAGTTTGAATTTGAAAAGGTGAAACAGTTCTAATGTCATGTCAGCTTGGTTTTAAAGTTATATAGAAAAAAACACAGAGAAGGGGACGGGGGTGGCCCCCCCCCCCAATCGTGATGGGGTTAAACATCAAACAAGAGCTAATCCAAACTATCTGGTCAACATTGATGTGATCTTCAAAATGTATTAAATTATGCATAAACTATTAAGACTGGGCCAACTTGAAGAAAGAACGATTTGCCCTCTTATGATTATTAACGCTTTAAAAGTTTTAGTAGTAACAAGGGATCTGTGGAATCATTGTCATCTTCTTTCTTTCTTTTTGTTATAATAAAATGTCGCCAACGATTATGTATTTTGAAATTGCTTTATTTCTAAAAATACACCATGAAAATTTAAATGTTTATGCTATAACAATTAAAAAATAACAAAATCATTTCAATTAAAAATCACAAAAAGACGACATCATCCCGTACAATCTATTTAACCGCTATAGAATAAAAAACAGTGAAATGAAAACAGAAGAATTATTTGAATATTGTTTGTGAAACATGTAACATATATAAACGTTTAAGGCAGTTTTAGTTCATGCATTATAAGCTTTTGAATGCTATTTTTCAAGCCACTATTTTATTTTGATTTTATAAAACTAAAAATATTTCGTTTTTTTACATTCAGGTTTTTTTATTTCGGCCGGCCATCCGAGTTAAAACAAAAAAAAATAAGTCCATTTTTATTCGCCCTAAAACTCAAATATCTACAAATTCATCATTGTAGGATTATCATATTTGAATTTATAGATTTTAATCATCTCTAATTGTAAAGCCCCCCCCCCTCCCCGCAACCAATTATGAAATAATTCGTTCTAATTGCATGATGTAACCATTTAAGGAAAATTGTTTTATAAAATTCTACTATAGATATCCATGGGGGGGGGGGGGGAAAGTTTTTCAATAAAAAACGCACGGTTTTTAAAATCTGATTACACAACTATAGATACATTTGTTACAGTGCAAGTGACCCAAAGGTTGTAAGTTCCAAAAATATAGATGTAATGATATCAAAAACAAAGGCCAAGGTGTTGCAACACTTCAAAATTGACCCAGTCTTAAAAATGTCGTCGTTCGAATTGGAAGCAAAGCTTATATTTCAGCCCTCAGAGGGGCATCGTTGAGCGGTAGCCGGTACGATACTAAAAGTTTTATTTTTAGTTTTCCAATAATAATATTTGTGTGTTCAGAAGGGTGAACAAAATCTTTCACAAGGAATTGACGAGACATGATTACAGATTATTGACCAAAATTGAGAAATAGAATGCAATCATTTTATTAAAAACTTGTTTGGAAACCCAGTTTTGCCTTAAAACTAAACTTTGCCTTTAAAAGTCAACAAACCTAATCTATGAACATTTCTGTACTTTTGCCGAGTTTCCCGATCCAAATTTGAGACAAATCGGTCAAGGGGTTCATGAGTTATGATCAGACATACAATGATACAAACAAGCAAACAGCGATTATAAATTTATATATTTCGATTTTAGATAGATGTAAATGCTCCATAATTTCCATATTTTTTATTACTGAATCAATTTCACTTCTGACTAGACATTCATGAACTGGGTTTAGTAATCTAGGTTCCTTATCTAGGGTGTCTCAACCTTTATAAATAGGTTTTGCCGAAGGGTTTAAAATTCACACTAGTCATCTTTTTTTCACATAGATACAGGGTTAATCACAAAACGTAATACACGGAATGGGTCGTTTTAATTTTTTTGTAAAACGAACCAATTCGTTTTTTGAAAGAGGTAGATAAACGAAAAACGATGGTATCGAAAACAAAACGAAAACTAGTATTTTTTCTATCGTTTTTAAAAACTATACAACCCTATACACGAAGTAATTTTGTTAAATACATTGATTGGTTAGAACAAACAACTTTTTGAGGTCCAATTCTAATAGTTTTTATGGTGTCAGGTACTTTCCCAAATACATTTTCCAAAGATGCGACTTCCAAAGGGTATTTTCCCAAGTGGCAACTTCCCAAATGTGCAATTTCCCAAGTGGCAACTTCCAAAGTATGTCCTAGCCACAGCACTCGGCACCACAGAAGTCCTAACGTAACCTAACCGTTGAAAAGGTGCCGCTTGGGAAATTGAACATACGGGAAGTTGCCACTTGGGAAATTGTCACTTAAGAAGTTGCCGCTCGGGAAAATGCCTTTTGGAAAATACCTAACACCGTTTTTACTTAAACATAAGTAAAAAGAAGTGTCATGATGTACAGATATAAAACAACAGATTCAATGAGATGAACTAAATGTCGGCTGGTTTATGTTTTGTGAAGAACCATATATATTTGGACCAGATTAATCAACGGGAAAATGGATTATTGTATAGTCCGGATTCTTAATCAATAATCATGGATGTCCCAATAAACAAATAGATTAACAATTTTCAAGTATTTATTTTTTGTAGCTTTCTGATGAACAAATTTGTATTAAAATAGGTTGCTTTCTATCAGTGCAGTAGTGGTGCAATTACAATAAAACTTAATAATGTTTGATGATTCAAAACAGAAACAAAATTTTAAACGTATTTCTCTGGTAAAAGCACCATAAGGCAAACCACATTTTGGAAATCCCAGAACAAGAGGCATTTAATAATTAGTAACGACCTTTAACTTGCACATATTTTAATTTCTCAACTCTCATGTTTTGTGAGACACCCAGTACGGTGTATACTGTATACTGTATCATGTGTATAGAGAACATGAATTGTAATGGTATCCATATATTAACATTTAGATATATTATAGATAAACTAGACTTCAAAAGTCTTCCAAGGCCCTTAGCGCCCATCTTCGATTTTAACTTTTCATTGTTGCTCTATCTGCGGGATTTTCTCTTCTTAAATTAATTTCGCGGACTTAATATTTTTTTCTCGTGGATTTTGAAAAATCAAATTGGTTTTTTTTGCCCGATCGGTTTATCACAAAATAAGCAGGTAGATAGATAAAGCAATATTTAAATAAACTATTACCAATTTGAATAAATACTATTCAATAACTAAACTAAACTAATAAACTAAAAGTGTATATGCACTAGATGAATATATATTTATATTTAAAATTCGGTGATGGTGATGGACCAAACCTCTGTAGAGTAAAAAAGTAGATGTTAAAGTTCCACATTTATTGAAAATATATTTCGGTCTGGGTTGACCCTCGTCAGTTCTTGAGATTGTTTCTGTCACAAAGATAAAAAGCAAAACTATTATTTAGATAGATAGAGCAATTAGAGAAAAAATGAAAATTATTATTCTCTTTTTCTACATATTGGATTATTTCTAAGCTTGATATTATATCAGTAAAATTATGCCACAAAAAATCCCAATTCAGAGCTAAACACAGAACAGTATTATTGGGATAACCTGTAGCTCCATGAAGTAGTTAAAATTAATTTTTCTATTGTTCTAATTATCAAATGATGTTTCCCTTGAATTACAGGGTTACCCTCAAAGAGGGGCGTACGAGGGCTTTTGTTTAGGTGGGNCCATTTCCTGAAGACCTGTTCTGCTAGGAGAAAGCAGGATAATATCATCTGCATATACCCAGATGCCCATATAGACACCCTGGATTTGGCATCCAATAGTTGAACATCGTAATAGCTTGATAATTTTGTCAATGTAAATACAGAATAGCACAGGGGAAGAAACTGCTCCTTGTCTGACACCATTTTGTACATTGAAGGTATTTGAGAATGCATTACCCCATCTAACATTACATTTTTGATTTGAGTAAATGAACATTAAACACCTTAATGCTAGAGGTGAAACACCCCTCTCCAATAACTCTGTGAAGAGCACTTCCCATGACACAAGATCAAATGCCTTACTCAGATCCATTGCACAAGCATAAACTGCTCTACCAGCTCTGTTGTAATAATCCACTACAGAGTTGACCCCCCAGCTGCACATTGTAGCTAGCTTCTGAAAACCAAACTGAAGTTCATCTGTGGTCAGCTTATCAGAGTTTAGAATTAATATCAACCAGTCAAACCATTTTAGAATCAAGCTGCCAATGGCAATTGCCCTGTAATTGTCACTGATAGCAATGTCATCTAAGTTGTCCTTCACTATGGGCACTAATGTGCACAGTAGTAAAAAAGCAGGAATTTGGCCTGTAGCCAAAAACCATTTAAATAGGGTGGTCACATGATCTATTAACTTGTTAGATATTAGAGGGGAATTTAGAAAATCCCTCGGTATGAGTTTTGTCAGTCCCTTTCAGCCTGAAAGGGAGTTCAAAGTGTACAAGTCATGTAAATGTTCACATATTATATGCAGTAGAGTACATAAATACAGTATGTTCCCTAGACTATTCTTTTCAATTTCGAATTTTTTAAACTGTTGAATAAACTTTATAATGAATTAGGTGAATAAAAACATCATTTGATTTATAGTTATAACGGAAAATTATCGTTTGTAAAGTGAAAGGTATAGAGTCTTTGTGAAATGATCATTGGTCAATTATGAAACCAGCCTTTTTCATAATTTGGTTTTCTTTTAATATTAATCTTAGGTTTTCTATAAAATGATATTCCAGGGCCCAAAAGGTTATATATCAAAATATAAGGGAACAGGATTATAAATATGTGAAGTACACCTGCAGAGTATGGAAACAGTACAACAAAATGGTCGAATTTTACACTTTTTTCTTGTAAATTCCACTTTAAATGCATATTCTATTCTCTTTGATTTCAAATAAAAAAAACATAACTAAATTAGACTATATTTTACGAAGCACTAATTATATTTATGATAAACGACAACAATTTATAACACAGGTCAATTATACAGACTTCTGATCCAATAGGATCCGAGCCATGTGGAAACGGAGCTAAACAGAATCCGACACCGAGAAGCTCTCCCAAAGATATCGAGTGATTTGATGGCATTAAATCACAAACCCATTATTATATAACACCCCTCAATTTCCATCGATCATTATTTTTACCTTTAACCTAATTTAAGACATATTACATTTAATGTCGGAAACCAATTAGATCCGTTTCCACTAGGTCCGTTGGGACGGTACTAGACTTCTAATTCCAACCCTAAAATGTTATTAATTTAATTGCAAATACATTCTTTTTAAATTGCCATTAAAGTGATTTAATGGGTATCCTTTAAACCTTTAAATGGGTACCCGTTAAACCACTGTGAATCGGACATGCCATCATATAAATGGAGAAATTACGTTTACAGGGAAAATGATTCATAGCATCTACATTTTTAATTTAGGACTTTAAACTATTCACTTTTTAAATAAAGTTTGGCATTGTTGTTTGATCCTTTTTTTTGTTGATTACATGTGTGCGGAAATTATTACACTTATAGACATTGTTAACAGAGAACAAACGTCAGGCATATCATGCACAATTCACGTTAAACATAATTATAGCCAATAATTTTACGCAAAATATTTTTTTCCTCCTTGATCTAAACTTTTTAGATTTTCTACTCATTTGAAAATATTTATCCTACAGTACAATTCCTATTTTTTATTTTTTATTTAACACACACAAAAATAAAACCTTTCATGATGCGAAAAATATAAAGTGCAAGTTTTGTTATTTATAAAGGGATTTGAAAATCAGATTTGTTGCAAAGACTCAAATCCTTTGCAATCCTTCATTGTTTACAAATCATATGACAATACAACCGTATTGCACTTTACGTCTCAGACCAGTTTTGGAATTATATCATTGACTGAAGATATCAAGCAGAAGAACTAACATTAATTGTTTTTTAATTGAAAAAGGTATTTTCATTTTAAAAAACTTCAAAGAACAATTTTTTTTATGAAAGCATTTAAATCATCTGAGCTGAAAACTTTAGAATGGGATATTCTTAATCCCGATCGCTTAATTTGAGTATTCAATGTACACACTCTTTATTTTCTTCTTAAAGGGAGTGATCGGCAATGTATGTTGAACTGCGAATGCAGTATTATAGAAAATCTTTTTAGGATTCATTTGAGACATATAAAACGTTTCCACGATGTATAATTACTGAGTTTGAGTGCAAAGTCGAGGTTCAAAATCATGAACTTGGGTGGGTAGGTTTTCAGAATCGTGTTTTAAGATTATAAAATAACGAAGACGAAAAAATTATACAGTAAACTAATTAGATGTTTAGGAACATATTTCTCAAAAGAAATTTGTCATTAAGTCAATGTTAGAATCAATTTTTTGGTTTTTATCATTATATTGAATTTCTTATTTTCTATGATTTTTTTTCGCAGATTTCTACAAATTCTTCAAATGTCGTCTTTTCAATAAAAATTCCATAACATCTTTGTGAATAATGAGAGATTATAGAAATTAATAGTTGAAAAAAATTACTCATTTTCGATGATAAAAGCTAATAACTAAAGGTTTAATATAGAATTTTGTATACATTTTTTGTCGTCGTAATAATTAAATATAATATAATAATTTAAAAAAAAAACGATTCTGAAAATGTACCCACCCCAATTCATGATTTTGAACATCGGCTTTGCGCTCCAACTCATTGAATAAACGTTGTAGAAACGTTTTATTTGTTTTAAATGAATCCAAAAATATTTTTCCACAATACTACATATTCAGTTCAATCACCATACATTGCCGGTCACTCCCTTTAATACTTTTTTTGATATCCCTACTGTATAAAAGTGACGTTTGATAACAAACAGATACGATGCTATATGAATTGGACTAATATCTGATTGAACTAAAGTCAGTTGTTCACAAGCCGGCTTTTCATTTAAACAAATATAAATTTAATCCTATTAATTTGAACTTATTAAACAACAAACTTATCACATTTGAGGACTATAGTCGTTTTGAACGTTAATCTTAATAAAAATCAATCCAAAACTTACGTTCGTTCAATGGGGTATTATAGTTCAAGTGATGACACCATCAACGACAGAAATGCGCAAAAATTAAAACCCGGGTTTTTAAAATTAAAGAGCGCATCTCTAATCGCTAGAAATTGATCTTAAGACTAAATTGGTCTTGATGTTAGCAAAAAGAGAGGATTAAGCATTGATCTCGATATCCACCATATTAAAGTTTTCAGCTCTGGCTTAAATGCTCAAACAAATCTAAATAAGATGACCAACAATATAAGTTGGGTTAAACTATCACTAGAATTTGACTAGTTTCATGGCAGCGAAGAAAATCCTATTGATAATGTCCATAGCTGAGGTAGCGGCATTTCCCGTGAGCGCAGGCCCACTTGGAGTTATACACATGGTTAATCACGTGACCTGCTGACTATTGCTTGAAGCAGACAATTTATGAACTAGATAGTTTAACCATCATACATAGGTAGATGCAGGAACTGTTTTATGCTTTTTAACTTTAATATCAAGGTTTTTTTTAAAATCAATTTTTTGAGTTTGTGTACTTTTCTTCAGTTTGATTAATGGGCGTGACACCAGCCTGGACTAACCACACCTCCATAGAATCTGGGCAAACTTCGATACTTAGGGCGTGGTGCATCCGGTGGAACAACATTTCCGCTCTGAAGAATGGATTTGATCTTTTCCTTCAAAAACTTTGTTAAACGCTTCTTCTTATACGCAAGATTAGTTGTCTCGTTTGGGTCTTTCTTCAGATCATACAGATAAACCATTTTAGCCTCATTTGCCTGAAAAAGTCATAAAAGGAATTGAGTTTTTGCCACAAATTCAAATTTTCTAATCCCTATATCTTTGCTACTAGATGGTGTAAAGCGATGATATTTCAAACTTAGACTATTTAATCTAACAGAATTCATAGATTGAAATATCAAAGATCTACGACATCGGGTTGCTAAGATATAGGGGGAAACAATTTAGAGTTTGTGTCAAAAACTCATTTCCTTAGTCAGAAGATCATGTGAAATAGAATAAATATCGAGAAACTGTAAATAAAACCGGAAAATTAAAAGAAAAAACAAGGTAAAACGGAAAATGAATATGATTTACGTCTTAGAAAGTATCAAAAATTCAAACAATATTCAAATCAATTGCACCATTTCATACAAATGCCTTTGTTAATAAAATAGATTTTACCTCGTAAAGGGTTTGAAGATATTTGTTCTTGGTTTGTTTTCTGGTTGTATCTGAAGTCAGACCATCAGCATATCCCCAGATAAGCTTAAACCTGAACACCAAACATAATTCAATCAACAATCAATCAATCAATAAATTAGTAAATTGATGCATTGATAAATCCATCAGTTTTTTATTAGTCAACGAATCCAAAAATCAGTCAATAAACCATCAAAAAATCAATAAATCAGTTTAAGTATCAAATTACAAACAAACTTCTACACATTAATAAATCAAAAAAATCAAAAAAAACTTTGATAAGAAAATATTCAAATTCCATTTTCACCTTCCAACACGTACAGCTGCTGTTATTCTTAGAGCATCGTTTATATTGTAAACCAACTCATTTCTAGGCCCCGGCCAACCTGCAGTACAATACAGTTTACAGTGCAGTAAAGAATGTAACAGTACATTAAAGTACAGTACAGTACAGGATATTACAGAACAGTACAGTACAGGACATTAAAGAACAGTACAGGAAAGTAAAGTACAATAAAGTACAGTACAAAACAGTACAGTATAGTACAGTACAGTACACTACAGTAGAGTACACTACAGTACACTACAGTACAGTACAGTACAGTACAGTACAGTACAGTACAGTACAGTACAGTACAGTACAGTACAGTACAGTACAGTACAGTACAGTACAGTACAGTACGAGTACACTACAGTACAGTACAGTACAGTACAGTACAGTACAGTACAGTACAGTACAGTACAGTACAGTACAGTACAGTACAGTACAGTACAGTACGGTACAGTACAGTACAGTACAGTACAGTATAGTATAGTACAGTACAGTACAGTACAGTACAAGACAGTACTGTATACTGCATAGTATAGTATAGTACAGTACAGTACAGTACAGGGCATGACAGTACAGTATAGTATAGTGCAGTATGGGTAAGTACATTATAGTACAGAACAGTACAGTTCAGTAAAAGTATAGCTCATAGTGTATCTAGATGAAAAATGTAATTTTAGAATAGCACAATGTTCCATGGCCTTTAAAAATTAAGTATGTGTAAGGAAGCACCTTTGGATACAAATCCAGGTTTCTCTATTGTTTACAATTCGTCAAAGATGTATATACATGCATAACACTATAACAATACATCTCTTAGTGTTAAGAAAGGAGGGGGTCCAAAGGGGAGGGTGGGAGTTCAAGGGTACACAAAGGGTTGAAAGGGTGTAGGAGGAGTAGGGGACGGGATGGGGGTACAAGAGTTTACTGGTGTCCAGGAGAAGAGTTGGAAGAGGGAAGAAGGTCCAGCCAGGTCCAAAGGGACTATTTGATGGTTGGTGAAAGAATCCAGGAGGGGCGAAGGTACGACGGAAAGCATGTAATTGTTCTTTTTTATGCATCTACATTTAGGCGTTTAGAAAACCAGAAACATAGATTAGATCAATATCCGGCCATTTTCTACTTGTCTTAACAACCAATCGAAGGTTAAAACGTGGAATTATCCAATTCTTCATCTTCATTATTTAGATTTATATTGACCTTGAATACAGCTGCAGGGAGTTATAAAAAATAAGATCTACATGATGAACTTTGAAACAACTTTTTTTCCCGAATTCAGCTAAGCTTCTTTGAGCCTGAATACTTTTGAATAAAGTGTGTAATTTCCAAAAAAAAAATTTCGCGTAACTAACCTGCTGTATGACGAAGGAACTGAAGGGTGTAACTAACCTGCTGTAAGATGTTAAGGAACTGAAGGGTGTAACTAACCTGCTGTAAGATGAAGGAACGGAAGGGTGTAACTAACCTGCTGTAAGATGAAGGAACGGAAGGGTGTAACTAACCTGCTGTAAGATGAAGGAACTGAAGGGTGTAACTAACCTGCTGTAAGATGAAGGAAGGGAAGGGTGTAACTAACCTGCTGTAAGACGAAGGAACTGAAGGGTGTAACTAACCTGCTGTAAGATGAAGGGACTTAAGGGTGTAACTAACCTGCAGTAAGATGAAGGGACTGAAGGGTGTAATTTACCTGCTGTAAGACGAAGGGACTGAAGGGTGTAACTAACCTGCCGTAAGATGGAGGGACTTAAGGGTGTAACTAACCTGCTGTAAGATGAAGGGAATGAAGGGTGTAACTAACCTGCTGTAAGATGAAGGAACGGACGGGTGTAACTAACCTGCTGTAAGATGAAGGGACTGAAGGATGTAACTAACCTGCTGTAAGATGAAGGAACGGAAGGGTGTGATTAACCTGCTGTAAGATGAAGGGACTGAAGGATGTAACTAACCTGCTGTAAGATGAAGGGACTGAAGGGTGTAACTAACCTGCTGTAAGATGAAGGGACTGAAGGGTGTAACTAACCTGCTGTAAGATGAAGGGACTGATCCATTCCATCAAGAAATGTTGTGTTAGCCTGACCCCCAGCTAGAGCTAGGATAGTTGGTAACCAATCGACAACATGGATCATATTCTCAGATACCCGACCCTGTAGGACACAATCAATCAAAATTTTTTAGAAAAAACTAATTTTTGCATTGGGTACCATTGTGAATAAGAAAAGCCGGTTTATAAATGGAGGGTCAATTAACATTATGCCGATAGTTCTTTTAAAAGATATTTATTTGAATATTCTACAGGGTTGGCGCACATATTTTGAGAGCGGATACAGTGTTGTGTAGAGATAATTCTGGTTTTAATTGATCCCCCTGTAGTTTGAAATTTTAATTTAATCACTCAACCTATCATATTCCACAGTACTGAGTTATTACCGGACCCCTGTGTGCTATGGATTGGCCTTTGTAGGATTAATTTCTTCCTGTATTAGCAATATCTATTTCCTGCTACAGAGGCAGGGCAGCAATATCTACTTCCTGCCACTGAGGCAGGGCAGAAATATCTGCTTCCTGCTTCAGAGGCAGGACAGAAAAATCTACTTCCTGCTACAGAGGCAGGACAGAAATATGTACTTCCTGCTTCAGAGGCAGGACAGAAATATCTACTTCTTGCTACAGAGGCAGGACAGAAATATGTACTTCCTGCTTCAGAGGCAGGACAGAAATATCTACTTTCTGCTACAGAGGCAGGACAGAAATATGTACTTCCTGCTTCAGAGGCAGGACAGAAATATCTACTTCCTGCTACAGAGGCAGGACAGAAATATATACTTCCTGCTTCAGAGGCAGGACAGAAATATCTACTTCCTGCTACAGAGGCAGGACAGAAATATATACTTCCTGCTACAGAGGCAGGGCAGAAATCAATCAAAAAAGTGAAATCTTCGATGAAAGAGATTGCAGTTTTCGCAGATCCACACATTCGGTATTTTTTGCACATTTTTACAATATAGATTTGTTTAAGCGAATATGTATAAAAAGGCTTGAAAACGCTGGATTCGATGTTTCTCGACAGAATAATTAAAAAGTCACTTAGTTCGGTATCCACGAAATACTGAAGTAAAAAGTTATTTCTGGTGGAACAGAAACATTGAATTAAAAATAATAAATTCCTTCCTCTTATACCTCACTTTTGAAATTCCTGAACACCCCCTTTTAAAATATTAAAAAGTATATATTTTGATAATTGATCCTGCCTGAAGTTTAGGATTAACCCTAGGATAATGGAACAAGGAAACCGTTCTAGTTCCCCCTTCATGTACACTATTCTTCTTCCCTCGAAGAGGCCAGTTCGAGGCCCTTGTGTAGCCTCCATTGTCGGAGAGAAAGATGATGACGGTGTCCTCGTACATCTTGGCTTTCTTCAGGGCCTTTGTCACGTTCCCGATCCCTTCGTCCAGGGCGCTGATCATGCCCTGTCTCATACTCTCCTAGATAGATAGATACAGTTAGTTCAGATTAACATGACAATTTATTAAAAAGGAGTGTCCATTTGAAAAGAATAGTATAGGATGAACAATAATAAAAATATAAGGCAATATTTTGAAAACCTAAATTCTATTTTTAAATTTTGAAGTGCAAACAACATATATACAATATACAGGGTTACCCAAAAAACACAAGTTTAAACTAGCAGGAATCATGAATATAAAGTGCATGATAGACAGTATGAATTATGTACAGTCGTCTCTGAAGTCTCATCCTTTGTGTGTTACCCTGTACATAAAACATGTAAAATGAATAGAGATATTTTTCTATTTCTCGCGAATGCAGATATATCCATTGTGAAGTTCCACTTTCTATATACTGTACAGGGTGACCCGAAAACATGAGACTTCAAAGACGACTCCAAAAAATGGGTTGTTCATAGTTTCCTTAAAGAGTTATAATTAACCCTGTATAGGGTATGGTCCCTTATTCTTGTAGTTTACATGTGAGTTGGGATCAAACAATGCACAAACTACGTTGTTTCAGGGTTATTCATTAAGAATAAGATTGTGTGGATTTTCTTCATTTTTTTACAATTCTTTGCAGCAGGATGTTTCTGTTGACAAAACAATTTTTATAAACCATTTAATAAATCAAATAAGGCGTTCATATCATGGTATTCCTAGCATACTTAGCATGTCAGGGTGTTTGTCTGTCTGTTTGTTTGTGTATCCATTAAACGTCAAAACGGCTGAACTATTCGGGCCCTAATATTCATAGGAAGATTCGGGCCCTAATATTCGGGCCCTAATATTCATAGGAAGATTCGGGCCCTAATATTCGGGCCCTAATATTCATAGGAAGATTCGGGCCCTAATATTCAGGCCCTAATATTCATAGGAAGATTCGGGCCCTAATATTCGGGCCCTAATATTCATAGGAAGATTCGGGCCCTAATATTCATAGGAAGATTTATGGCCCTAATATTCGGGCCCTAATATTCATAGGAAGATTTATGGCCCTAATATTCGGGCCATAATATTCATAGGAAGATTCATGGCCGGTCAAATTTAAAAAATTGTGCCTGAATAACGGGCGATTTAAATCCTTAAAAATGTAACATTTAAACACTTGAATTCGATATATAATAATATAAACAACCGTTAAAACGCCTGAACCGATCGGTCCCATTTATTTGGAACCTTACATGGTAAGGTGTAGGGTCGAATCCCCAAAACCTTGGAAAGGATGGATTCTTTTTTTGTTTGGGACTAGATGCAGGATAAAAATAAATCAATAATATTTCAATGCTCGATCAGTGATTTTTGTCCTCAGGAAAGAGTCGTGAGATGCCAACAGTTCTTTACAACATACTTTTCTGATTGCAAGGATTGCATTGTGATAGATTATTTTGAAGAAGTTGAGGTCATACTGTTCATCTGGAACTATATTAGCATCCATTTATCAGAAGAAGTCGTGGCATAAATAGAAGTGTACACATTATAAAGGGTGTCCCAATAAACTTGGGAATTGAGAGACGAGTTGAAAGTCGTCTTTGATTTCTCATATGTAATTCATGGCAAATAAAGTGTATCTTCTTCAATTTTGAAGATACAAAAAAGGTAGACCACATTTTGAAAATCTCAAGACCAGGCGTTTTCGATAATAGATGTTTAAACTGTTATACTGAAATAATTGAATTTATAAAAAAATTTCTCGAAGACGATATAAAAGTCGTCACCTAATTCCCATGTTTAATGGGACACACTGTACATTATAGGTGTATATCCTTTAATCACTGCAGTGCACTAAAATATCTTATTATGCGAAAATCAGATTATTTTCAAAATAATATCTGAAAATCTGAAAATCTGAAAATCTGAAAATCTGAAAATCTGAAGCTGAAAATAAACGTTAATTAGTTTTTCTAAAAAAAAGTGTTAATAGGGTGGTAAGGTCAAAAACACAGCGAGACTTTAAAGTCAGTCCGGCAACAAAAGTTGATGAATAAATTTAAAAAAACTTTGTAGGTTTTTGCGCATTGAGGAAGATTTGTTGTTTATATTAGTTTCACAAAAACTTCCTGTTATTAACATTTGAAAATCACCTATTGTTATTTTAGTCCAGGATTAGTTATACATGTCTAATGTGTAGTTGAACATTGTTAAAGCCTATACTAGTGATGTTCGAATGAGATTTTACAACTACTTGATTTAAACATGTGATTTAGTTAGATTTAAGTATGAAATAGACGTCATAACAATCATCTTAATCAAGGAAATTCAAGGTTTACAAAAAGTAACACTTAAATGTCCAGGGCTCCCCAATTTTACATTGTGTAAACTCTCTCCTTTGTATACCCCCCCCCCTCCCCCAACGTATTATAAAAGGGACTCCAAGAAAAGTTGGCAATGCCCGATTCACAACGGTACCATTGAAACCTTTATCTGATTAAAATTGTAATTGTCGTTTCTAAATTCTAAATTCTACGCAAATTAATCTGGCTGTACGACTGATTACAGAATTTTTACAACGGTACTGGAGGTCACAAAAAATTACGACAACAGTCCCTTTAATGTTACAGGTTACAGGTTACAGTCCCTTTAATGTTACAAGTTACGGGTTACAGTCCCTTTAATGTTACAGGTTACAGGTTACAGTCCCTTTAATGTTACAGGTTACGGGTTACAGTCCCCTTAATGCTACAGGTTACTGGTTACAGTCCCTTTAATGTTACAGGTTACAGGTTACAGTCCTATTAATGTTACAGGTTACTGGTTACAGGTTACAGGTTGCAGTCCCTTTAATGTTACAGGTTACGGGTTAAAATCTCTTTAATGTTACAGGTTACAGTCCCTTTAATGTTACAAGTTACGGGTTACAGTCCCTTTAATGTTACAGGTTACTGGTTACAGTCCCTTTAATGTTAGAGGTTACAGGTTACAGTCCCTTTAATGTTACAGGTTACGGGTTACAGTCCCTTTAATGTTACAGGTTACAGGTTACAGTCCCTTTAATTTTACAGGTTAGTGGTTACAGTACCTTTAATGTTACAGGTTACAAGTTACAGTCCTTTTAATTTTACAGGTTACAGGTTACAGTCCCTTTAATGTTACAGGTTACTGGTTACAGTCTCTTTAATGTTACAGGTTACAGGTTAAAGTCCCTTTAATGTTACAGGTTACGGGTTACAGTCCCTTTAATGTTGCAGGTTACAGGTTACAGTCCCTTTAATTTTACAGGTTAGTGGTTACAGTCTCTTTAATGTTACAGGTTACAGGCTACAGTCCCTTTAATGTTACAAGTTACAGGTTACAGTCCCTTTAGTGTTACAGGTTACAGGTTACAGTCCCTTTAATGTTACAGGTTACGGGTTACAGTCCCTTTAATGTTACGGGTTACAGTCCCTTTAATGTTACAGGTTACATTCCCTTTAATGTTACAGGTTACGGGTTACAGTCCCTTTAATGTTACTGATTACAGTCCGTTTAATGTTACAGGTTACTGGTTACAGTCCCTTTAATGTTACAGGTTACAGGTTACAGTCCCTTTAATGTTACAGGTTACGGGTTGCAGTCCCTTTAATGTTACAGGTTACTGGTTACAGTCCCTTTAATATTACATGTTACTGGTTACAGTCCCTTTAATGTTACAGGTTACTGGTTACAGTCCCTTTAATGTTACTGGTTACAGTGCCTTTAATGTTACAGGTTAGATGTTAGTCCCTTTAAATGTTGTAGATCACAAAAGGAGATCATCAGTTTCAACATTTTAGAAATTTTATTATTATTAGATTCCTGAACCAAAATATTCAACTATTTATCATTTCTAATCGACTGTTCACCCCAGGAAGTTTGGAGAAAATACATCAAGTTTTTAAACTTTTTATATTTCATATCAACTAAGCATCAAAGCCGAAACAAAATAAAAATGTCCAATGAAACTTGCTTTCCCAAGCAGGGATTTGAATCAAAATAATATCAACTAAAATAATATGTCGTCCCCACCCCCACCTTTTAATGTATAAAAAACAATTTAACTTGCAGGCATGTTTTTAAAGTTTGAAATCCGTTTATTAACCATATAACTATTTTTCTACTCATTATAAATGAAATTTCCGGTGATTTCAAATAAGCCGTCCAGCTTGGCTTTTTTAATTTTAAATCTTAAAAAATTACATACACCAAAAATCATATTTATTTTGGGTTTAATTGGGCAAAATTGTTATCAAAACTGATTTCCGTTTGACTTAAACTAATGAATTACACGTTTTTTCCCGTTAATCTTCAAAATTTGAGTTGGTTAAAGAAATGTATCCCAGCCTTAGTACCATATTCCAACAATTGATCTTCTGTAGGAAATAAAACTGTATTATTAGAATGTGATGAGAAAAGCGTGCTTTTCGTTCAAAGATTAATCATATTCAGATACATATCTGCAATAGAGCCATTAAACATTACATTTTGTTCCAAAACCAAGAACCCATACAGCCCACCTACAGCCTTGAACGGTATGTCTAAGCCCAAGTAAATTGAGTCTTTGCCCAAGCTAAAAATTTCTATTCCCTATATACTTGCAACCTGATGGTGTAAGTTTATGATATTTCAAACTTAGAATATTTAATCTAACAGAATTAATAGTTTGAAATATAAGGATTAGAAAATATAAGGAACAGAAAATCAGAGTTCTTGGCAAAGACTTCAGTTAGTGTCAACTTATTTTTTAGTAAGACCCGTTTTTTTCTTCAAAATAAAAATCCCAACACAATGATGTTATTGTTTCTTTATTTCCTTAAATTTTTAAACAATTACACTCGTGGAGTAATTAAGTTAGGTCTGCATAATATGGATATTGTGGAGATCAATGCTTGATACCGAGATTTCAAATCTAAAATCCTTCTGTGTACAGAGGACGGCCTGGAGTCATTTGAGGTTGATAAAATATTTGAGCTTTGACGCTTATTGGATGATAACAAACAAACTAATCACATTCATAAAGAAATGATTTTTTGTATTTTGTAAGAAATTTAATGAATATTTGAAGGTTACTGGGTTCTGATCTTGTGGTTGAAATTACCAAGAGTGCATGAAGGTGTTTAGACTCATTTATCATCGTAATCACCTAATCAGTCAAATATGGAATACTGCACACACCAAAATATTCTGACAGGGAGACCCGAAACGGATGAGATTTCAAATCAAATGATTGCATTGATTTGATAGAGTTTTTTTTTACATAATTTTTTTTTGTAAAGAAAATTACTCAATTTCTTTGCGAGTTGATTTCGTATTCCTTGGACGGGCGTATTCAATGCAGTATACGTTTTAGGCTCATAACTTCTAGACAACCCTGTATAGTGTAAAACTTATTATGCAGCATAATCTATTTGAAGTGCATTTTGCATTTGCAGTACACGGGGGGGGAGTCAAATCCAAACCAATCAATCAATAATATACCTTTGTAAGCTTGCCATAGGGTTGGTACTTGCGTGCATAGTGGTCAGGTACTTGAATAGGCTTATGCACATTCTGATAAGCCAGGTAGAGGAACAGAGGCTGACCGGCCTTATGATCTTCTATTACCTTCACCGCCTGATCACTGAAAAAGGAAGAATTAGGGTGAAATGATTTTTCTTTTTTGTTTATTCCAAATTGTAAGTTTATTTTCAATATAATTAAACCACTTATCAGCATTATCTTGAATTTTCTACATAGTTTTAGCACTCTAATATTGAATTATAGAACCGAAACTAATAATAGAAGAAAAATGCTTTACAAGATTTACGACCAAACCAAACGTAATAATTTTACTCAGGAACTAGAAAATTATACCCCGGGGTTTTCCACAGTGTGATGATTATCTATAGAAAGAAGGTAACTGGGCCTTCATTCTAAAATTGCGGAACAAACAATTTTGCCGTGGAGGGGGGGGGGGTGTAGCAGTATTTTAAAGGTTAGTCGATGATTAGATTAGAGATTTAATGCTTTTCTAGAATTCCAATTAGAAATGATAATCTATAGATAAATTGGATAGATAATTCCATTGCTATTCTAATTGGGAAAATTTTTCCTTGATAATTTTGATGAAATTAATTGTGTCTTTTTACTTTTTTCTATTCATCACAACCTTGAATATCTTCCGGCACAAAGGATGAGGCCTTTAGTTGACCAGTTTATCAAAACTGTTGTCAACGAAAGACATTAGTTTAAAGCGGAAACAATTAAAATAAGATCAAAGATTGAATAAATTCTGCAAAGTTTCATCGTTTGTGGGTATCCTATTCTTACAGAAAATATTGATAAAAATGATAAAAATCAAATTTAGAGAATCTCAATATTCTTGAAAGTGTTTGTCAAAAAATGTTTTCAGTAACAGTTTAAGATAATGAGTAGATAGTATAAGACTGTTTAAAAGGTTCCGAAAGAGTAAAAACAATAAACAGTATTATCAACCCCTGAACCGATGAGTGTACACAGTGTGCAAACAATATAAAATGTACCTAAATACGTTTGCAGAATAGCGGCCTGACCCTTTAAAAGATACAGCTTCATTCTCCCTGCAATATAAAAATATATAAACAAAACTTCTAGTGACTCCATTTATATAGAGTGGCATGTCTTATTCACAAAAAAACCCTATAAAATGATAATTTTGAATTGTGGTTTCTTTGAAAATGTTACATGAGAATTCATGCAGTAGAAACAAAGAAACGAATTGACAGAATTTTAGCCGTTTTGAAAATGAAAAACTACAATATATCTTTCCCGGTAAATCAAACAAACAGACAAACATTTGACAGCCAAACAAATAGACAAACATTTGACAGACAAACAAATAGACAAACATTTGGCAGCCAAACAAATAGACAAACATTAGGCAGACAAATAAACAAACATAGTGACAGGTTTAAATAGAATACTGGAAGAGCTTCATGAGTTTGATTAATGAGAAAAAGATTCTATCATCAGGTTTTCTGTAAACCAGTTGCACACTTGAGTAAATTGGCATTCTTTGAGAATACAACCCCCCCCCCCCT